CCCCCCCCCCCGGTCCGTGACAGCCCCAGCCCGACTCCTCCGCCCGGGGCTTCCCGGGCCCGGCTCCGCCCCGGCGGGGGACAGCGGCAGGGGGAGGCGGGGGACCCCCCGACGGGACGGGACGTGCAGCTCCAGGCTGCTGCATCCCGGGGAAACCTTTGCGTGTCTTCCACCTGCCTGACACTCGGGACGGGGAACGGAGCCCCGGGCTTACGGCTGTCCCCGGAGAGCCGCAGGACGCTTCGTCCCCCGTCCCTTTGGACACTGGCCCCCAAGCCGGTCACTAGCCCAACCCTGCGCAGCGGGGAAGGACGGTCTGCCTCGCCCTTGGCTGATTTTCACTTTTATTGTTGTAAATCCGCTGTTCTCTCTTTATATATATATTTTTTAAACATATATTAGATATAAAAGTCAGAAATGCTCCTCTTCGAACTACATATACTGGTGGATTTATAGGCCGGTTTTGAAAAGGTGGGCAAATCAGGATGCCCAACCTGATCCATACACACAGCAGCAGCAAATGCCCCTCTCCAGGGACAAGGGAAATATTTTATATATATATATATACGTGTATATATATATGTAGACCTATATATACACACACACTTGCACTCGCACATGCACTTATCGCCCTGTACATCCCACCTCTCTGCCCCAGCCCCTGCCCAGGACGCCCCAGGCCGGGGCCCAGCGCGTAGAGGCTGCGGCTGAGCGGGATGGGCTCCCACCAGGGAAGTACTGGCCGGGCTGAGAGCTGGGCAAGGCACCGGAGGACGGATTTGGGAGTCCCAGCAGAACAGGGCGTGGGGTTCCTCTGCTCCTAGAGAAACGCCTGCCCTGTCCGTGCCTGCGCTCCCCGGGTGGAAGGACTGGCAGCAGCGCGCCCCTGGGCTGGGAGACCGGGTTTGGGGGGTGCAGGCTCCCCGGCAGGACAGCTTTAGATGGAGGGGAAATCCACCGCTTTGCAGGCACTGTGCTTGCAGGACATCCTCAGTGTGACGGTAAATGCGGACACCCATTTCCTCACCTAGCTGACCGCCAGGAAGCACGGGAATGCCATGGCCCAGGAGGTGAAACCTGCCTCAGCAATTCTCCTCCAGGCTGAAAAAACGTAGGAAAGTCATCAGCTGGAGGCACGGAAGGCCTTGAGCAGTGACAGCCCTGGCTGGCAGGGCCACGGTGGTCCCACCGGCGCTGCTGGTGTCATCCAGCAGCAGTGCAAGCCTCTACCCCCACCCGGGCGGGCAGGCAGGGAGAGACCCCCCCGCCGCCAGGGGGTGCAGAGTCCGGCACTGCCATCCCCTGCCGAGGACGGGAAAAGGCACTCTGGGGTTTGGACCCTTGGACACAGTCACAGCGGCTGGTGGGAAGGCTTGCCCTGCCTAACCCTGCCCCTGTGGCCCTGGAGGAGGGAGGAACACCGATCCCCCTCCCCAGTGCACCAGGCTTGCGTGGTGAGGGGAGGGTGAGCCCCCCGCTCCCCCGACAGGAGGGGGACTCTGTATGATTGCCTGCGATAGCCCCCAGCTCAGCGGGGGTAACCCCGGAGGCTCAGGGGCAGATCCCGGCTCTGCCGATCGCAGAACCAGTCTGGCATCCCCGCACCCCAGCAGTGACCCCGCACCCTGTGGCCAGGGAGGGGACGGCTCTTGTAGGGGACACCCGCTGCCGGAGGAGCCCCAGCCGCAGCTCTCACCAGGAGGGGAGGGCACCGCACGCCCACGCGTGCACACACACGCACACACGCACCCAGAGTCAGCCGGTGTCTCGGAGACATTCAGGACGGGGGAGTCACCGGCAGAGCCCAATTTGGGGGTCCCCACCATCAGCCTTGAGGCTGCCCCCTGTGGGGGTCAGGCCATGGCCAGGCCTTCTGCATGGCTGTGGATGTGGGACGTGCTGGACACACCGCTTTCGCCTTTGTAACTTTTGGGGGCCCGGCTGGCTTTTAGCAGGACCAGGAAGGTATCCGTGGAGATGGCCCCAAACTCAAAGGTGAAGGTGCCGTAGAAGACCAGGACATCGATGATGAACATCCACTCGCACAGGGCAGCCACATGCTGCAGCACGAAGCTCTCCTGGATGAAGAACACACCACCTGAGGGCATCCCCGTCAAGGAAAGCATAGCTGGACCCCAAGCACCCCACGGAGGACAACATCCCCCTGCCACTGCATCCTGGGGCGGCTGTGAGCAGCCCCCCTCTGCAGGGAACACCCCACCACCCCTAAAACCAAGAAAGCCCACATGCTTCCCCCAGCACTGGGAGGGCCCCGGCATGGGTGAGGTGGTGGCACACGTGCCCAAACCAGCCTCGGTAAATGACGGGACCGATGCCAGGCAGGGATTTTCTGAAGAGGCTGGGACAGGGGAAACTCGGGCTGCAGCCCTCAGGCAAGCCGGGTGCCCGGCTGCCTCACCCTCCCCACCCCCCTCGCCTCTTCCTCAAACTGGGCTGACGCTCCCCGTCTTCCCACAGGATGCAAAGTCAATAAAACTTATCAGCCCTCCCTCCCCTCAGTAAGGGGGTACGGGCTGCTGCATCCCCGCCCCGCAGCATCCCCCATCCCTCCGTGCCACTGGCTGGCTGACCCCAGAGAGGGGGCCTGTTCCCTCTCCCCCAGGTCCTGCTGCTGCCAGAGCTTCTTCACGCTTCCCTCATTCCCACTGGGATCTCTAGGGAAACCTACTGCCAGGGCCACCACGGGTGAGGGAAGAAGGCAGGTACATCCCCCAGCCCTCCAGCTGAAGCCTCTGGCAGCATCCTGCCTTTTGCCAGCGAGACCAAGATCTAGGAGAGCTGGAGAGGCACCGACCTGACCCTCTGCTCACTCCCCCCATCCCACCAGGACAGGTCCCAGCCCTTTCCCCACACCGTCCCCACCACAGTTTGCTGCTTTCCCACTTCCAGTCCGCAGTGCTTACCGAGCAGCATGGCCGCAGCAGACAGGCACCAGCCCTGTCTCCCTTGTCCTTACATGCCCTGCCTGTCCCTCCCAGCTGGCACGGCCCCGCGGCACTCCTGCCCTTCCCAGCTCCCTGCCCGCTTCCTGGTCCGCCCGCCTGCTTGGTGACACAGCCGGACCCTCTGGCACATCCCAGGCCCACCAAACCTCCCCGGGCTCCTGCGCTGCTCGCCCTGGCCAGACCCCAGCCAGCCTCTTTGGGACCTGTGGACACCACATGCTTTTTCCCCTTCCTGCCCAATAACCTCCACCTTGTTTCCCAGTTTATCCCTACCCTCAGTCCCAAATAAGCGCCTGGCTCCCCGGCCACACACTTGGGACCATTCTTCCAGCCCTGCTCTGCCTGCCGCCATGCCCTCCCTCCCCGGCACGGTGTTTGCAGACCCCGGCGCCTGCTGTCCGAGCCCTCCCTCGTGCCGGCGGTGCCGGTGAGCCCCAGCTGAGCAGAGGTGCTGCCACGCACCCGCCTGGCACCCGCACAGAGCGCTTTTGTACTCGGCTTCAGTCATACAGGTAACTCACAGGGACTTTGCATTGCCGAGGGCTCAACATACCTTTGTCTCATTAAAAAAAAACCCCAACAATTAACCGGTCCTTCCACTCTGCAAGGTGTAGGGCTGGAGCCCGCAGCGGTGGCTGGGCTGTGCTGCAGCAGCCAGGGAAGGGCTGGTTTGGGGCTCCCCAGCATCCCGAGAGATGCCCACCAGGATCCCTTCCCCTCCTCACCCCTGCACTGCCCCGATACTGCTGCTCCTCCCGCCTATGCCTGCAGCGAGCTGCCCACCTTCAGCCCCCTGCCCAGCCCCTCCTGGCACTGTGCCTCGCTGCCAGACCAAAGGATGGAGGACATGGGGCATGTACCCCCTGTGAGGACCACCTTTTGCCAGTCCATCCTGGATCTCCTTCCCACATCCCCTTCAGAAGGATACTGAAGACAAGGGTGAGGAAGGCCACAGAGGTGAGGATGCTACGTAAGTGGCCGGTCCAGTACTGCCCGCGGGTTTTGGCCATGCGGTAGGTGAGGATGGACTGCAGGAGCAGGAAGAGCATGCTGGTGGGAAAGGCCACCCCTGCCCCGATGTAGTGCAGCACCTTGGCGTGATCCACCTGCAGGGGAGAGACCATCGGTGTCCGCACCCCGGCACGGCCCCCAGCATGGCTCTGCTCCAGCGGGTGGGCAGTGCCAGGAGCGGGTCCGGGCAGTGTGGAGTGTCCAACTCCAGGCTGAAGAGCAGATTTGGACCTGCTGCTGGGATCTCAAAGCACTTCTTTGCGCAGCTGTGGGGCGATAGCTCCCGAGTCCCCTGGGCCACCAGCCCTGCCGTGCCCAGGGGCACGGGGCATGGGGCAGGGGCTGCCCTCTGCCCTGAGCAGCAGCTGGGGCTGCCTGCACCCCCTCCTGGAGGTCACAGCCCAGCCTTCAGCAGAACGGCTGAGCCACGGCAGGGGCACAAGGGGGAGCGGGGCCAGAGAAGCTTCTCCCGGGGGGGTGGCGCCGGCAGCAGGCTTCGGCCAAGCCGA